GAAGAAAGGAAAAGGAAAGGGAGATCAGGGACAGGGGGAGTGGGGTGAGTGAGAGTGAATGTAATGAGATGGCGTAAATGATTGAGTGTCTGAAAGTGAGTGAAGAGAGGGGAAAAAAGCATATATATATAGAGAGAGTGAGAGAGTGAGAGAGTGAGAGAGTGAGAGAGTGAGAGAGTGAGTGAGTGAGTGAGTGAGTGAGTGAGTGAGTGAGTGAGTGAGTGAGTGAGTGAGTGAGAGAGAGAGAGAGAGAGAGAGAGAGAGAGAGAGAGAGAGAGAGAGAGAGAGAGAGAGAGAGAGAGAGAGGAGGGGTGGGGATGGGTGGAGAGAGAGAAAAAAGAAAAATGGTACGGAGTAGGAATAAGGCAGATATGCTAAAAAGTAGAGAAAGAGAAGAATGCACGATAGCTAAAGTTTAAGAGAACCTAAGAAATGAATCAAATGAAACCACCAGTTCTGATCAGTAGACAAGTTATTAGGCAATTAGTATATTAACTCAAGTACCCGAGGATTGTGCGCGTCTCCTCCTCCAGGACGGCAGACGAAGGGGGGGGGGGCAGGCAGAGGTTCTGCTCGAATGTAGGCCAGTGTTTAGTATTTGCATGTACGCTCAGGTCGAGGGGGGGGGGGCTGCCCGTTTCGCTAGTCCAGACGCCTCGCCGCCCCCCCCCCCCCCCTCCCGTCGCACCCAAGCGCACAGGACACCGAGAAGCTGCGATGCCCCGGTGGCGGCAGGCAGGTCGTAAGATCTGTGAAAACACTCGCGCTCCTCGAGACTCTCCGGGGAAGCAATTATCCTGATTACCCTGAAGGTCGAGATTCCCGTGCGTTTACGTGCGCTACTCCAGGTACTGCGTCCTTTTGCCGGGTGGCACTCATGACGGTGCGGGAGGTTGGGGGAAGAGTGTGCTACAGGGCGTCGGCACTTAATGTGACTCTCTCTCTCTCTCTCTCTCTCTCTCTCTCTCTCTCTCTCTCTCTCTCTCTCTCTCTCTCTCTCTCTCTCTCTCTCTCTCTCTCTCTCCCCTCCCTCCCTCCCTCCCTCCCTCCCTCCCTCCCTCCCTCCCTCCCTCCCTCCCTCCCTCCCTCCCTCCCTCCCTCTCCCTCTCTCTATATATGTGTGTGTATGTATGTATGTATGTATATGTCTATCTGTATATCTGTATCTATCTATCTATCTACCTATGTATTATCTGTATCCATCTGTTTATCTGCCTGTATATATCAATATTCATGTACATGCATATATGTATGTGTGTAAGAATGTATGTATGTGTATGTATGTGTAGCCTGTATGGCTATAACATTATTTGGACTTGATAAGCATAAACTTCAGCATGCTTCATAGCAGCGCGAGAATCGTATAGCTTTATCCTGTAGCCTATAGGGGGAACTACGATCTCCTGTTCGATTATTCTCATTCCTCTATCTATGTCACCTTTTATTCATGTATTCCTCCTGTAGCTCTGCTCGCCATCAACCCACTGGCAGTCTCTCACTCATTTCACTCCCACATACACCCACATTTCCCCTTATCCCATTTGCCTAAGTAGGTCACTGATATCATGCGTTCTATTTCATGCGGCATGTACTTATCAAGTGCTCTCGCTTCGACTTGCTATTGCCACGTTTGCTGTTTGTGTTTTCTTTGCCACGAAAGAGTTGCTTAGAATGCCGTAGACGCTAAAAAAAAAGGAGGAGGATTTTGTGATCTTAACAGGTGCCTTGTTCTCGTGCGAGTTCGGTGCATGTTAGGCGAGGTGAGGCATGCATTAGCGGGCCGACACCGGCGCGTTTGTTCCCAGGCGTGCATGAGAAGGTGGCATCCTCCTGCTCCTTGACCTTGACTTGGCGTGCCTGCCGTTGCCCGTGAAGGAAAGGTTATCTGGCGAGGACAAAAGGTCGTGTAGTGAATGAAAGGTCGCTTGGTGAACGAAAGGTGAACAAGAACACGTGCATGAACAAAAGATTATGTAGTGAATGAAAAGGTTGTTGTTTGATAACAAAAGTTTCCAACCGTGAGCGAAAAAGGTCATCTGCCGTGAACAAAAGGTCTTTTGCTGAACAACAGATCAGCCGGCGAAGGAGAGGAAAGCGTTCGGGAGAAGGCAGAGATCGGTTCCACACCTCGGCAGAGCCTCCTTCCGGGCCTGATCATGTGCGATCCTTTCCTCCTCCAGCTCCACAAAGTCCAGCTCCCCCACCTGTAGCTTTCCTGTGATTCTCCATTCAGTCATTCATTCGTGGTAAACTCATTTTTGTCGTGCATGACTGAGGTAGTGCGTTCCTTTGAGTCGCCAGGTCCTTTTTTCTGCCTCTCGTTTCTTATTTCGCCTGTCGATTGCCGGAATGGACATTCTGTTTTAATTTAACAGTATATTCGTGGAAGGACGTTGGGCTGGCGGATGATTGAGTGGAGGAGGTACGAGATTGGTTAAGTGAGAGTGATTCGAGCGCGATGAGGAGGGAGGATTGGGTGAGATGTGTGCTCGAGTTTGTCAACCCAATACTCTTATTATTTTATATGTAAAAAGAGGGGAAAGTTCGTTGTCTCTTAGTGATTAGTATAAACGTGTAATTGACACGGTGAGTAAACGCTAAATTTACGAATGTCTAGAGCTGTCACTGGAGTTTCCTCGCGTGTTGCAGCACTGGTAAGGTCGCAACCGTGCTGTTTATGTAGACAGAAGCCCACTTGTACTCCTCGTGGTCCCCGGGCCTGGATATCGTACCATAATGATACGCTTGTTGAGAAGAGCCGTCTGTTGCCGGTCGACGCTTTCTCACTCGCATCGCCTTGAAGATCATCCGATGCGACATTTTCCCCCTCCGGCCATGCCATGTTTACGCACTCACCACCTATCAAGATGCCCTTCCCCCTTCTGCCAGTCCTCTCCTCGTGCCGCTCTCTTGCCACCCTTTCCGGCTTGCTCAGTCCTGGCTTATCTCTGCTTGTTGCCTTTTGCTTCTTTGCTTGTTGATCCAGTCTACCTCTTCCCTTTTATCTAACTCTTAAATTAAGCTACTTACCGAGCGAGGCGACATCCGTGCACATTGTGTTTAGGAATTTTCAACTTTTTTTTTTTTTTTACCGGAGTGTACGTACCCGCGATTGTTGTTTTCTTGCGCGTTAGAGGAAGGGTAGGAGTAGACAAAAACAGTATAAAAAATAGCTTCTTCGGAATTTTTTGTGGAGTAAAGGAATAAGGAGGAAGAGAACGGAACTAGACCATGAAAGAGATAAAAATGACAAGGAATGTGGAAAAGAATTAGAGGACAAGAGGGTTAGGGAGAGAAGAAAGAGTGAGGAGACGAGGAACCTTGAGTGCAAGAAGGGCTGGGGGACGAGCGACGAGCACTCGCTGGCTTCCCATTCGACCGACGCTTATTTTTGTACAAGTGGCGAGTGATACGCAGCGTAGGCTTGCCGTCGGCCCGCAGTCCGTCTTGCCGCGTCTCTGAAAACGTGCGTTCAAGCGTGGCCAGCCAAGTCCCAGATCTTGCACACTATTAGAACCTTTAGTATTGCGGGATAATTTGTTTGCCGAATCGCCATAAACTATTCAACGAACACGCATAATCACAGCAGGGAATGAAGTGACTATCAGCGATCGGCTTTAGGCTCGTTCAAAGATGTTCTGTACCGGTACTTTATATTACAAACAAACAAACAAGGGGAAGGTTCACGTGTGCTTTATTATTTTAGGGTGTCTGTGAATGAATGGTTATATGCAATATGCATGATACTGTATAGGGATCCTTAAGAAACTTTTGTTCTCGTGTGAACCAGTCGAGATAGGCATAACTTATTTCATATTGAAAAACCCAGTTACAAAACTTGTTATCGGGCAGGATGTAGTAAGGAATGGATTATCTCCCCTAACTTGTTTCACTACGCTTCCGTTTTGAGCAGAGTTCTCGTATATTCAATTTCACTGGTAGAATGAGTTGAATGGGTTTCACTGCGGACACGGCGGAGGTGCCCGTACGCAAGCCGTCGGCGCCATTGCATCGACGGCGTGAGGCAGGAGTATATCCTGGAGAATATTTTTCAGCAACGTCAGTGAGGGAGTTAGCGGACAAGACGTCCCCGTAAGAGGGTCGCGGTGCATCGTGCCACAAATTCCTGTGCAAGCTCCTTGTCTTGCCTTGCCGTTTCCCGGGACACTTGATCGCGTCGTAGGCAGACTCCAGCACAGATGCTGTTCGGTTATCAAGATGTTATGAATATATCATGACTTGTTGTTGATTTTGATGCCGTAGTGGGGGTTATTGTTATGCTTAATATAGTTACATTTATCTTTATTTTGATGTTGATCATGTTTGTGGCTGAGTTTACTGACGTGATTATGTTTCTTTGCAGCGGAGTGGGAGGAGAGTGGAGCGCGTCGTCCCCGTGTTCCTCCCTGACGTGCTCGCCACCGCCCCGCCCCGAGGATCTCGACGACTGCTGCACGGGACCAGCACCCCCGCCCGCCGCCCACCCCACGCCCTCGCCCACGCCCACGCCGGGGGCCCAACCCACTCCAACCCCGCACTCCTACGGCAGCCATGTGGGCCAGCTGACGTGCATGGCGCCCAATGATGGCTCGGGCGTGCGGGTGGGGCGGAAAGGCGGTCACGACGGGGACCAGTTAATGGGCAGGATCGGCCCGGGCGGCCAGGTGGGCCAAGCGGGCCACACGCCACACAAGGACCGGCCTCCGGATACGCCCTCCGCGCTGCCTCTGCGGGTCACGCGCCGCAACACCCCCGAGGACGTGGCGGCCCACCGTCGCCGCCGCCTGCAGGTAGGGCACATCCGGAAGCGGACTGGCGAGGACGCGACGATGGGTGGTGAGAGGCGCGCCAAGCTGCCGCGGGCGTCCCCCCCGCCCTTGCCCGTGAACGGCGTGCGGCGCGTGAACGGATGCATGAACGGGAGCGTGGAAGGCGAGGCTGCCCTACTCGACCGGCTGGGCGGGCTGGCGGGCGCGGGGGACAAGCGCGGGCGGCACCACACCCGCACCTCGCACGCCCACAACAACCATAAACACAACGGGATCGCAGGTGACGCGTTGCACAATGACGTCGACCACTTGTTAGGTAAGAACGGTGTCAAGTGTTTTAACGGGACACTCAATGAACGAATCAACGGTACGCTAAAGCCCGAGCGCATGAACGGCTCTGCGAAGCCCGAGCGCGTGAACGGGACGGCGAAGTCTGAACGTTTGAATGGCACCATACGAAGTGAACGTATAAATGGCACCGTGAGAAGTGAACGCGTGAATGGCACGGTCAGAAGTGAGCGCCTGAACGGCGCTGTTCGCCCGGAACGTGTCAATGGTGTGCGGCGAGTGAGCGGCGAGCATCACAGGCGTAAGGCAGACCTCCAGACCAACAACAACACTGAACCGCCCATGGTCCTGCCCACCACGCCCACTCTCCTCAATGACGCCCGGACCCCCCACCCCCGCCCCCACCCCCCCAACGCCGCCAAGCGTGTATCTCAGGGAACCCCACACCCCACTCAGGGCTTAACTTTGAGCTGTGATGCCGGTCTAACGCCGCCCACCACTGCTACCCACACCCCCTCGGCGGCCGCCCACCAGCCGCCCCTCTCGCCCACCTCGGCTCGCTGCTCGGCTAAGTCCTCCCCTCCGCCCGCCTACACCAACGGCACCGCCCACACCACCTGCAAGAGTAGGAGCAGCTCGGCCAGTTCTGGCGCTGGGTCCTCTGTTCCTAGCCCCGCCCCCAGCCCCGCCCCGAGTCCAGCCCCGAGCTCCGCCCCCAGTTCCGGAACCTCCACGCCCACGCCCACGCCCACCGTGAGGTTCCCGCCCCCGGAGAAGAAGGAAGCTGCCGACGTGTGCCGCTGGCGAGACTGCAACCAGGTCCTGGACCCGACCACCTCCCTGCTCGAACACATACAGGTACGTGTCGCCCCTGGCCTCGCGGGGCACGGGCCAGCTGTGCCCGCGGCGTCCGAGCCCCCCGAGGGCAGGTGTCTTGGGCCGGACGACGATTGCAATCCACGCCGATTTTCCTTTTCGATTACCGTCTCTTAGCAGGTAGCTTTGTGAACCTCCCTATGCTTACCCGATGAAAGAACCTTGTTTTCTTTGTAGGCTCATATATGTCATACATTTGAAAGCTAGTGACGGTTAGACTCTCATTCTTGATTCGCTTGTGGTTAGAAAACATATTTATTTCTATATTCCATTACTTTGGAAAGAAAAGTCCTGTTTAAATTTTATGAAAAATTGTATGCATTTCTGGTCCAGTTGTTTCTTGTGTTCTTGAGCGCCATGTTCAAAATATTGAAGGTGCGAGTCAGGGACCATTACGCTCGTGGGTAGGTGTAAATGTCTCTGATGGTTTTATCTCTCAGAAGGTGCTTGATGTAGTTTGCATTTTAGCAAGATTATGAATGGCTCGAATATGCTGCAGTGATGGCAGTATGTCAAAGAGATATTGTGTTTCAAGGTTTTTTTTATTATTTTTTTTTTCTTATTATTAACATTCAGAAATCTAAGATCACTGAGCCCATTAATAGCCATAAGTCCACGCTAAGAATCTTCGTGTATAAAGCGCTACCTTGGAAGCATTAGCCAGAAGTACCTTGCTAGTGTTTCGTCGTTGGGAGGAAGCCTTGACCGAAGGAAGACTTTTCAGGGACGGGCGCGGCTCTCTGGTTCGCACTGGCTTAAGGCCCGGATGAAGGAGAGGGGGAAGTAGAAATGAGAAAGTGAAATGTGCTTGTGTCATTTGAGAGCTTTTGGAGCTCTTGTTCTCCTCCTCCTCTCCCCCATTTTGCTTTATCTCTCTCTTTCCTTCCCTCCCCTCCTTTCTTTCTCCATTTCTCCCCCTCTCTTTTTCTCTCGTGTGCTTTCCCGCTGTGTCGTAGCAGTGGCATTGAAAAGGGATTGCGAGACTCGGCATTAAACGCATAAGCATATGTGAGAGCCCCGTCTTCCCCTCCGAGTTTGAGGTTTCAAGTTCGAGTGGCTGAGGGTCCCAGATGTTATGAGCTGTCAAGAAGAGGAGGAGGAGGAGGAGGAGGAGGAAGAGAAGGAGAAGCAGGAAGAAAAGTAGGAGAAGGAGCACTGGCGGTAACAAATAAGGCAATAGACATAATTGTTTCATGTTCATCCTGATTTTTTTTTTGCGCTGATGATAGTGAGGATGGTGAGCTGCACCAACACCGCGTAGGTGGTCGTCCCCAGCTGGTGTGAGCCGCATCTCGTCCCCAGCCACTACCACAACAAATCAGTCTTGCCACGTTTTGTACCATTTTTTCATTACACATTCATTTATAAAAATTCAGTTTACTCTGGTTTTATGTTATCGCATAGTGTTTACTTACTGCTTTTGTGTATCTTTGATGAATTATTGAGAGAGGAAGAGAGAGAGAGAGAGAGAGAGAGAGAGAGAGAGAGAGAGAGAGAGAGAGAGAGAGAGAGAGAGAGAGAGAGAGAGAGAGAGAGAGAGAGAGAGAGAGACAGAGAGAGACAGAGAGAGAGAGAAAGAGAGAGAAAGAGAGAGAGAGGGGGGGATGGGAAAGGGAGTAACAAGAGGAAGAGGTATTAGAATAGATTAGATAAGAAGAGAAAAACAATAGAATACAGGGTGGACTAAACTCTAGACATAGTTTGTGGTAGAGAAAGAGAAAAAAAATACGTGAAGGAAGGAAGAAAGAAAGAAAGTAAGAAAGAAAGAACAGGAGAGCAGTGTGTTCAAACAAGGGGAGAGAAAAGAGTACTAGAGATATATAAAGGGAAGAGATAAGAAAGCAAAGCACAGTGTGTGAAGAAGAAGAAGGATAAAAGGGTGTTTAGCCTTTGGAGGTAAGATGCGATACGGAAGCCTTGGTAAAACTTGCCGGAGTAGAATCCCTGATGGACAGAGAGAGGGCGCGGCGTGTTGGACAGTGAAAGAAGGGAAGAAAGGTGTGGAGAGGGAAGCGAGGAGAAAGGATGGATGGGAGGAAAGGGGAAACAGAAAAAGAGAGAGAGAGAGAGAGAGAGAGAGAGAGAGTGTGGTGTTGTGTTAAAAGGAGTTCCCCACCTCCCCCCCCCTCCCCCCGAAAATGTTTTATTGTGGATTTCAGTTTCCAAACTTTGCGGGGTAGAATTGTATGTTGGTTGCGTAACATAGCGTGGACAAGTTGCCTTTTCTGTTGCCGGCAGCGGAGGGCTAAATACTGCATGAGGACGTGGTTCGTATAGATGTTGGCTGTAGTTGGTGGCGAAAATGGCGGTACAAGATTCGAGATTTTCCGTTTCCCATTTAGCCTTCATATCGGCACGGGTAAGTCTCAGTGTCAACAAAGGTTTGTGAAGGATCACCCGCGTGTGCATTGGAAGGCCAGCGTATGCTTTCATCTGCAGAGCCCGTTGTGTGGACGCGACCTTTCTCCATTAGTGCAAGGTCAGGTTCCTAGATTATTGGGCATATTGACCTCTTCAGCCTACGCAAGGTCACGTTACAGCGAGGCTCGTATTTCATGTGACTCGGCATCTTTTTTATGTTACCAGGTTCATACCGTGTAGGGTGAACTGTTTGTGTCAGCACAGGCTTCGCCCTCTAAGGCAAGTGAGTAGTAGCCTCTTGCATCAACACAAGGTCAGTGGCTAGCTCAGAACAACACTGACAGCACGAAACCAGCCAGCCTTACTTTGACCAGTCTGATTTCATGTTCCGTTAATAGTCAGCCTCTTGTGTCAGCAAAGGTCAGCCGCTGCACCGGTGTGTGAAGCTGACTTGTCACAGTCGTTACAAGGATCCGAAGCACGAAGGGCCACGAGCACCGTCAGCAGTGTTCGTGCGAGGGGTCAGTCGCAGGCCGGACGTCGCCTCTTTATTATTCTATTTGACAAGAGACACTGACATGGCTGTAGTGGGGCGGCTGTAGAGCTGGTTGAAGTGGTAGAAATAGATCTAATGCTTATGGAAGTGGCTGTGGCAGATCAAGGGGCGGTAAATGTGGTTGACGTGTTAGAAGAAGTAGATTGCGATCCAATGGAGAGGACTGAAGTAGTTTTATAAAGAGACTCAGCTTCGACATATAGTGTAGAAGTAGATCTAGAGATGGCATAAGTTTTTAAATAGTAGCCGACGCGTAAGTTTAATCCGCTCTGCCTGTACTGGAAGTGTTAGAAGTTCTTGGTAAGTACAAAAAGCTAGTGGTGTTGCGTGCAGGTTAGTGGTGACTACAAGCGGCGTAAGTGAAATGGCGTTGGTAGACGCGGCCCGGGTCGTGTGGATCCCAGCACCACCGCTTCCACCCTAGTTCCTACTCCCCGAAAGGATGGGTCCGAGAGAGGAGGGGAGTGGGAGGGGAAGGTTGGAGACGGGAGAGGTGGATCGATGGAGCAGTAGAGGGTGATGAACGAGACGGTGGTGAGGAGGATGGGTGTTGGCGGGACGGGAGAGGAAGGAAGGGGAAGAGGAGGAAAACGGAGAAGGAAATGCGCGCTAGCAGGAATGTAGAGATGGAAGGCGAGTTGAGAGCTGTAGGAGTGCACAAGGGCGGGGCCGACGAAAAACGCGCGGTAGTAGGGATGAAGGGAAGCGGGAAGTGTCTAAGTAATCACGCAACAGAGGAGGAGGGAAAAGCGTAAATGGTAAAGAGGGAAGTAGGCATTGGAAAGAAAAGGAGGGAGAGTACGAAGAGAGATGGGCGGGTCAGGGGAGGGGGTGGAGGGAGCCAGAGAGACGTGAGTGTACCCATCAACAGAGAGGGTAGTGACCGGGACCGTCCGGCACGCACCACCATGATACCTGGCCGTGTTAGTTACCACCTTATTGCCACCGCCACGAATATTGATGACAAGGCCGGGGTAGTGTATCGTCAGTCACAGTAGGGGGTGGGGCAGGAGAGGAAGAGAAGGGAAGGAGAGGGGGGTAGTGTGAAGGAGCTTCGCAGAACGTCTTGCCTCACACGCTGCCGTCTTGAGTGTGTCTGGGTCGTGTCTACTGCGGCGCGCGTCCTCACCTCCTCAAGGTCACATGATGCGCGGATGACGTCATTGCTTGGCTACCGAGGATACCAATCGCAAGGGAGAGGACGTTGGTAGGCGGAGTCGCGGCAACCAATCAGCGAGTGTATGTATTATGACGTAACTTGAGTGAGAGAGAAACTCGCCAATAAGAGCGTGGAAAAGAGGCGCTGAGCTGCTGATGGCTAGTGGAAACCCAAACTTTACGTAATATTTAAGATATTGTGCTGCTGCAACAGATCAATTGTATAAGCGGCGTCACAAGACTACCTGCATGACACCTGCCTGAATTGAGCAACCACGACAGAGCCATGTGCTGGAGTGGTGGTGCCGTGGAGATTAATACCATGTGGAAGTTGTTGCTATACAGCAGCTTTACCCTAGATCACTGCTCTCACGGTATTTACAAATGGGTTGATTGTGTTTATCAGAATTGCAGTTATGTTGTTAGATATTTTGGTATTGTTATTATTACGACCTGATTTCACATTGATAAACTTCTTGCAGTATCTTAGTCGTCGTTGGTAGGGTTCCGTTTTCCTTGTTGCCGCATTGTGTGTAGATGTCAGCTTGCTGACAGAATTTTGCGTCACTGTTGTAGTATCGCTCCTTGCAATGCTGCAGGTATGCCGATGTGTTTGGATTGAGCTTATATATCGCCATTTTTTTTCAAGCGTCAGCATTAACACATTTTACCATAGAGATATTGACTTCGGCGGGAGTTTATAATAGACGTAATATTTTTGAAAAGATGCTTAAATGATACAAAAGTTTTTAATTGGCACTTAATCTGGCATATGAGTGAAAGGTTTCTATTTTTTCGTCTTGCTTACCAGTCTTTGTATTTTTACGTTCATTTTCTTCTTTTTTTTAGTTTCAGTCTGCTTTGTTGACTTTCCTAAAGATTTGACGTCACATAACAAGATGCAGTTCATTAACGAAATATGTCCGTGGCATGCAACGTGTGATGACAGACTTTTCCTGTTGCCGTAGTAGTCATGTTGTTGTTCCTCAGGATTGTATGTTTTTTATTTGTATTTTTATCATTTTTATGTTTTATGTATTTTTTTTATTCCATGTGTGGAATGTGACACGTTTATGATGTTGATTTGTAGTCAATACCATTAAAAAAAATGGTAGCAATGGAATTATTACACCTCTGTAGCACCAGAAATTTAAGTGAAGGTGGTAGACTGAATACATCAATGCTCATTAATGCAAAGGAAGTGAGAATCATGTGAAATTTTGAAGTAATTACCAATTTGCACAGCATTGTCAGTTCGAATGTTGAAAGCAGACATCGGTAACTCCGTCCCCCTAATTTCTCTCGTTTTTCTTCCAGGCTGTACACGTGGAAGGCCAACTGGAAGCAGAGAGTTTCCGGTGCTTGTGGGTTGGCTGCAAAGTATACGATAAGGCATCGTGTTCCGTGTCCTGGTTGGAAAGGCACGTCCTAACCCACGGGGGACACAAACCTTTTAAATGTATAGTTGATGGCTGTGGTCAAAGGTTTGCCTCGGAGGTAAGAATACGAGATGAATTCATATGCAATTGTTTCCCTGTATTTTTTTCCCCCTCTCAGGGTATTTGCTTGATCTAAGAGCAGTTATTTGTGCGTTGCTTTTCATACGGGGTAATTTGTCTGCCCAACTGGTCAAATAAGAATTGTCAAGGTGATTGGGCAGACTTTGTAAAAATATAGGCTTTAAATTATTTCATTTGATGAATTGGATAAAATTTACCCAAGGCATGAATTCATCATCTGAATGCTTGGTGATACGTGGTGATGCTATGCAGACCGAATAATGGATGCTAGTCACAAGTGCGTACATATGTGCACATGATTGCACACGTGTGTGTGTGTGTGTGTGTGTGTGTGTGTGTGTGTGTGTGTGTGTGTGTGTGTGTGTGTGTGTGTGTGTGTGTGTGTGTGTGTGTGTGTGTGTGTATGTGTATGTGTATGTGTATGTGTATGTGTATGTGTATGTATATATGTATGTATATATGAATGTATATGTATATATGTATGTATGTATATATATGTATATTTATACACACACACACACACACACACACACACACACACACACACACACACACACACACACACATACACACACACACACACACACACACACACACACACACACACACACACACACACACACACACACACACACACACACACACACACACACACACTCACACACACACACACACTCACACTCACACTCACATTCACATTCACATTCACATTCACATTCACACTCACACTCACTCACACACAGTCTCACACATATATATACATATATTTATATTATATATACATATATATACATATACATGTACATATACATATACATTTACATGTACATTTACATGTACATTTACATGTACATTTACATGTACATTTACATGTACATTTACATGTACATTTACATGTACATTTACATGTACATTTACATGTACATTTACATGTACATATACATGTACATATACATATACATATACATATAC